TTGCTAGGATATGGTTTACAATAGTCGAATGCCGGGATTCGAACCCTTAACCTATTGACGCTTGTTTTGGCACCAAAAGCCCTATAAAAAAGAGTCTTTCATAATAAGTGTTCGTAGTGCTTATTAGATATATGAATACGTAGTGCGTAGAAGGCGAAAGACAGGCGACTTTGGCGATCTCTTGTGTCAGAGGCAAGACCCACTTTGGGTCGATGCGCCAGCGGAATAGTAGTAGTACTTATATTCACTAGCTGTCGCCCGTGACTCCGTTCGTGCGGAATTAAACAAACATAATTAGTAGCCTATGTGGTCTTCTAGACTATGTTCTATATTTGTGCCAAATTTCATCGAGAACTGGAGACTGGTTTCTGGAGGTATCTTCAAAAACATCCATCCATCCATTTATAATATTGGTAAGGTAAGAAATAAGATAAAATTCTTTACCATAAATAAACTTTGGTATACATAAATTTACTATGAATCTTCTTCTTCTAGTGCCTCTTCAGTCTTGAAGGTTGGCCGCTTGGAATATTTGGTTCTGTGAAGTGCAAGGCGAAACAGTTCCTCTGCTGACCTAATCCCCGTCCACTCCCTAATATTACGTGGCCACGACTTTTTCCTGCGTCCAGCGCGTCTTTTGTCTTTAATATTGCTGATATCGTTTATATTAGCTGAAATTACTATGAATAATATTTAAATAAAAGTGTCAAATTCAGACTGTCTTTCTTCGTATGTTAAAAATACTTTTATGTAAAATTATTCAAATGTAAAAACAGACATGACGCATATCCGTTTGTGAATGAAAAAATTATCAACTACTAAAGGACAAAAGTGCAATATGCAAGTGACGCAATTTAGTCTACTTTTAACACGTTAGCCGCCAGAATGATTTTTCGAAAAACTATTTTTTTTTAATTTTGTCAAAAACCATTTGAAAACACCTAAAAATATAGTAATACCTTATTTACACTGCTCATATACTTATTATTTACATATTTACAATTCGTCGGACATATAGTCCGGCACGGCCTCGGGTCACGCTGTATACAACAATTCGATTAAAAAGCGTCCGACAAGCCACAGCGAGGTGTTGAATGGAAGTATGGCTTGTCGGACACATAGTCCGACACTACCTGATTGAAACATTAGCATGTCGGACATATAATCCGACATGGCAGCTAACGTGTTAAACTATAATAATAATAATAATAAGCTTTAATTATGTGTAGAATATTAGTACAATAGAAATTTATATTAATAGCGTAGATGATATACAAATATAACAGGCATCAACAAATTAAAAAAAAAATAGCAAAAAAACTCCCATAAAAATTATCTACTAATTAAATAACATAGAGGCAGTTCAAGCAACGCTTAATTACCTTAAGATTAAATTAAAAAAAAGAAACTTAAGACGTCGTAAAATTGATAAAATAAACTACGAAAATGGCGGACCCGTATCACTCGAATAGCGACAAATCTATAATAGTTAATTTTAATACCCGACTTATGCCCGAATACCGAAACGTCACTCAAATATGTAACGGCGTCTTAAAAGATAAGACCACGCTTGAACTCCAATATGGAATTTTCAAACGTCAGTTAAAGGCGCATCTCAATTTTGAGGCTATGCATGTGTTCTATTTTGACATCTTGTAACCAAACGATTGAACCGATTTTGTCAAATTAAGCGTCATTCGATTCGTAGTCTTTTTTAGTTAACAATTATTGTTAACTTGTCGTGAAAGTAAAGAGATAGGTAGATTGTTTCGTGTAAACAATTTACCTTATACAATGTTATTAAAGTTTACTTCTAGTTAGTTTGCTTTTAAAAAAAACCAGGCGCTTTGTTAATAAAACGAAACGAATTGCTTCAAACTATTATATTAAGTTAGATTAGTAGGTTAAAATAAAACGGCGATAATTTAAATATGCAATTTCCTGTATTTCTAACATATTAGAACTTTATACACTACGTATTTATATTTACATGAGCATTTTCGCTTCGCAATAATATTACAATTAAAATAAATTTCTCTCTTTATTATATTATTTTACATTTTTTTTATTCGAACTATACTATAATTATATATAGGCAAAGTGACAAAATACACACTTCGAAGGATTCAGAAAAATACTGTTTTTGTTTTTTTTTACCTTCAAAGAAAATCGGATGATAATCTGCAAAAATAGATAAAATAGAGATTAAATCAAAATTAAGCTGTAATTAAATAAAATCAATAAAAATTAACATCTGTTTAAACAAAAATGAGAGCTAACCACAGCCTGAAACAATGTAAACATAGTACAAATTGTTACTAGGAGATAATAAATACGAATAGTATCTATTGCAAAATAAGTTCGATCCTATCGCTTAGCGAAAAAGCCATTGCCTGTCTAATGAGGTAGCTGATATAGAGCCGTTGAAACAAAAGCAGCAATGGACAAGCGCTACCTCCATCAAACAGATAGTCTTTCAAATACAATCAGTAATTGTGCGTTACAGTATAAAAATATAATTTACAAAAAGTTAGTTTTGTAGATTTTAACCTCAGATCAATCAATATATAAAATAGATAACGTGTTTGAAATTTAAATAAAATAGTTTAATTTCAAACATATTAATGTTAAACTTAGATAAAGGTTTAAAATCTTTAGAAAAATTGGTTTCTTCTCCTCGACGAGCTGAATTTAAAGTTGGTTAATCTCTATTTAGTTATCCTATCCAACATAATTAATTAATCTGAGGTTTTTAAGTACTTTTACCTACGGAAAATTCAATACATGACTTTTATAGTTTCCTAGTACATTATAAACTAAAAGGCTATTTGCAGTCTCCTAGAACAATCATAGCAAATTTTTAGAAACTATTTGCCGCCAATTCTTAAATGTCAAATATGGATTAAATGATAAAAATAAATAAAATAAATATAATTTTTGATGTTTCCAAACGGACATCAGGAACATAATAGAGTCTAAATTTTCTTATTGCACAAGGGAATAGTAATTTTAAATGTTCAAAATAATGGGAGTTAAAGCTCTTAAGAGAACGTACAACCAAAACGACTCTCATTGATCGATTTAAAAACTACACACAACTCTTTACATTTTTGGAAACCATTAACCAACTATATTGGCACATATTGCTTTACAAAACCCTTATGTACTTTATAACTTGGTTAACAAGATAACGCGTAAGACTGCAAACTTAACAATCGCTAAACAAATGGAGCTACAGTAAATTTAACCCTTAATGTATACAAGATCTTAATTTTTATTATTACACTCCGTTCAGTCAAGCTAAATTGTCTTTATCAAAGTTACAGTATAAAACGATTTCCCAAAAGATGTACAAAATCAGAAAATGCAATAAAATTAAGCTTGAGAGTAGAAATTCTGAATAGCTTGACTGAATTTTATTACAATAAATAATTTTTTTATTTTAAAAATCAGGTAGGCACACTGTGAGGACGGCCGCTTGGCCCACACCAGACCCGGAGAACAGAAAAGCACCTGACCATCTACCATCGGTTCTACAAACCATGAGAAAAATGATAGAGCGTCTGAATGCAAGACATACGACTTCTGGTCTCCTGGTACTCGTCACCAGCTCATATCACATGCTCAACTTTTTTTTTTAATTTTCCCGCTTCCGCGACACGTATAAGCCACATACATTTTTAATTTAACAGCTAATTTTAATTACAATTAATTTATATTGACTTTAAACACACGATTATTATTAGAAATTGACAACACCTAAAGACGTCTTTGTACAGAAGTTCCAGTACTACAGTAGCTAACTGCACACACATCACAGATATAAATAGAAAAAATAAAGTTTTTTTCTTGTTAGTCTATACAACAAGTACATTTTCATATAATTCTAAGTTACCAGAGAGTGGATAGTTTTGTAGGCGCAATAACATCCCACTAATTTTACAAAGAGGATTATCTCCGTTTGGAACAGTTGATTTTTTATAATTTATTCAAATCCAGTTTACATAATGTCATAATATTATGAAATAATACTAAGATAAGACTATTTCAGACATTCATTGAACATTAAAATAATTAAACATCAAAATAAATCAGATAGAAATATATTTTCATGATTTTCATTTAACAAAAAATAACACTGAATGGTATAAAGTAGTTGATTTCTATTAGTTAAATTATAAAATATACTTTCTCAAACAGATTTGTTTGGCTCATTCATGTCTTTAATTAATTAAGATAATAAATATGATAAATTTTTATGATTTAATATTTAAATAAAAAAAAATGTTTTTCTAATAAAGAATTCCAAATTCTTATGTCATTTTCGTATAATATAATTTTGCTCCCTATATTTATCGATATTAATAAATAAATATTAAATAATATTTTACATTCATTCTGTTACTATTACAATTTATTATCTGTAGAAAAATATACATTGAAGTGTACACTTGTAGTTATAGGTTTTTCGAATTTTCGGCACATAATGTGTCCATCACACAATTTGTCACTTTGCTATCACCGTCTGATACATATAGTACAGTTTCACATCCGAACACGGTCTTAACATAAGACTCAAAGTCGAGATCCTGTCACTTTTGCACTATCATCCTGATGTCTGAACTGAATGGAATGGTTACCACATCCATCTGAGGTAGTAGGTGACTTCTCGAGCTCGTGACGTATCAACTCTAAGTATGACGTCATCCGCATATTCATATTATTGCTTAAATTGGCAGTAAACAAGTTATTATATTTAACATGAACAGGACATTATTACATTGTATGCGTTCAACCTTCTTCCCGCCACGGACGAAATGCTTTCTACATTTAAAAAGCACATAGATTGATGCAGAAAATTATTCTCTATCTACTGTTTTAACAAAAATAAAAACATTCTTCTTGTTTTCTGAACTGCAAAAGATTCTTCTAGAACTTGGTTATTAAAATCTGTTTCTTGTTTGAAAAACTTAGCAACATAGGTGACGATAATAGTAGTACCAGGCAATAATAAGGCGCAGGACGGTTTCGTGGAGGCGACGCCTTCACGTGGAGGGCGCGGGCGGCGAGTGGGCGCTAGACACCACCACCACCGGTTTCACGATTGTGGTGGAACTAAGGTACTGCGTACTGACCGTCATTGGCGCCACACTGCCACCGCCTTTCACCACTTGAGTTTCTACCATCTGGAAAAAAAACCAATATCAAAGACTCCAATATAAACGATGACCAGGGCATCAATTTGGTTAAATTATATTATTATAGTTTTTTTTTAAATGACAAAACTTTAAGTTACCTTGTGTGTGAGGGTGTGGGTTTGTAAGAGATGCGTGCCGGACTGTGACATCACCAGAGGAGTTAGTCCGCTCACAACCACGCTACCACCTTCTGAAATTTTGCAAATAACGAAATATAGCGATTACGCGATTTGTTTTTTATGCGTAAATTATAAATGTCGGTAATAAGAACAATTTCAACATTTAAAAAACATCTGTGAATATTTTCTTTACCTGTTGAAACCGGCGCTGTGGACACCAATCCATTTTCTTTTGTTATCCTGCTATTTTCAGTACTCACGACACCTGCAAAACGCAGGTCACATTTTTAGAAAAAATAATTGTATAGATCCTAAGTGGAGGAAATATTTTCAAGAATTTATTCCTTAAAACAACTAACTCCTCCTTAACACATAATTTTTTTACAAAGGATGTGCAAACGTCATATTTTTGTTATTGTTGTGATATGATTGTACTAAGGTAACATAACTTACCATTAGTATGTACTGCGGGCGCCTGCAGCACGCGTAGCCCGCCGCCGGCAGACAGCAGCTGCAGTGCCGCCGGGGCTACTACCACCTGGAATACAACGTTTATTACCATATATGAAACATATTGTTATCCCTCTCGTTCATTAACCATAGATTTATAAACATCATAGAATCGATGCAATAATAATTTCTTTATTCCTGATTTATTCAGAATACTTTTTAAATTTAAATTAAAACTTTATACCTGCGAAAGGGGCAGATGTATTTGAGCAGGATGCACTAGGGTGGTGCTAAGAGTATTAGTAACACCATTTTCCATTACTTGTCCATTCTGCAAAAGCGAATAAAGGCGTTATGCACTTTTTACAACCACATTTTACAAACTATACTCAATGAATAACCCAATATATTAGTAGATTTTTATAGTGCTTATTTACCTGCGTATTTGTTTCGGCCGGACCGAGTGTAGTTAAAGTTAATGTGTTGTGATGTCTTGAACCATACGAAGTTCTTACCACCTACAAAAAATAAAACTCTATATTGACATATTTCCAAAACAACTTCCTACATGAATATCGTAAATGTAAATTAAATATTAATTAATAAATAACATCGTCATAAGGAAAATAGAATGAAGCGGCGGCGGCCATTTTGTGTCTAAATCCTAATCCCCGATTAGGTCAGCTCTAATTTCTAACGTAGTACCAGGCTAACATACCTGCGAGGTGGTAGGCGTGATTTGTATAGGCAGCGCGCGCAACTTCGTACTTAAGTTTAGGGTGCGGGGGGGTGATGACTCCATTGGTGCCGCGGATCGTGGCGGAGACGAAGTTATCTGAAAATATAATATTTCGTTACAAATTGATTGTACGTATTAATTAAGCAACTTAATTATGCAAAATAAATACAACTTACACTAATTGGTATTCCTAAAGGTTGATCATTTGCAATGGTATCTTTCTCATCAATGCCATCTGAAATTATGAAAATGATTCAAATAAGACATATGACGTCACAAAGAACTAGTATTCTAAATAAAAAGTGACGAGAGGACACAAAAAGGTCACTCCACTCTGACGACACGTGTATGTATTATGTAATCACTGCTAATCGTTCAATACAAAATACCAAGGCAACATAAGGCGCGATCTATAAGTCTTTAAAAAAAAACAATGAAATCAATCCAATGGAGCCGATGGACCCATCACATTCAGAAGGAGACCCAATGACGATGACAATATAATCGAAAGCAAAATACTTTTGACTAAAATGTACCAGGAGAGCATCATATTACGCGGTAAGTTAACGCACCAATGTTACGGGGCCGCGCGCCACTGGTTCTTACGGAGACTTCTCGCCTCAAAGCAGCGAGCCGTTGTTGCGCGGCGATTTTTTCACGAGCTAATCTCTCCATCTCATGTTCGCATTCGCGCTCTTTGCGGCGTAGTACCTGTGAACAATGCCCAGGGAATCTTGATAAAGGTAATAACGCTTTAACATACTGACAAAAGATATGCCAAGTCATGAGACCGGTCGGTCGTGATAAGAAAACATTGCAAAATTATCGACACCTCTTCGCATGTTCTGTGCTCCTAGTGATTTATTAATAATTGCAATAAGACAACGACGTAAACGACCGACTCTACCTTATGTATTTTTCTTTGTTACATAAAAATGATAAGTACCTGTATGTACCGGATGGCTGAGCCTAAAATGGACAGGTTGGATGTCTTCTTGTCATCTGACGTGGCGGGCAGCTGTCTCTTGAGCAGTTCGAAGCACTCCTTGAGGTGCGCTCGTCGGTTCTTCTCGAGCTTGTTGTGGACCTCTCTGGTGCCAGCTCGTGGCGCGCAACCACTACTGCCACTACCACTACCGCTGCTGCTCACTGAAGGTGGTGATGGGATTTGTGGCAGCCTAAACAAGAGATGATATAATGAATGCCAAGATTTTTTAGACAAGTCACCTCGGAAAACTCAGAACTTTCCACCTCAAAATCAAAATTTGTTCAACAGATTACGTAAATTGTTCAAGTGTAGTCTGAACTACCATTGTAATATCAACTGTCCTTCCTTCATGGTCTTTGTCTTTACTTCATTTGATTGCAATTGCTTATTGGGCAGTGGCGATTTCTAAATATAACGCAAAAAATCCTATCATATAAGTGTGAGGTATTGTATGCGAAAGCATAAACTAATGTAGGCATAGCGCTGCATTAATGATGCATGCAGCAAGGCCCCATCTATCCACTGATGAATAATAACACGGCACAGATCGTATTAATATTCAATACGGTTTCGTTAATATCCAAACCTTGGCAGCAATGGAACGATGACAATAAATAAATCAAAAGCGCTCAAGTGACATCATATCGCCGGGACGACTGACAAGGATAAACTTGTATTATACCATTGTGACCCCTTTCCATTTCTTTTACATTTATTTCTATTAAGTCCCTCCATGTTCCAGATCTATCTAATCAATTCTAAGGATACACTTCTACTATTGTTTCGATTTATAGACAGGTTACATGACATTAAATTGCAATTTTTTTTATCCTTTAAAATTTTTATTTAGATAAAATATGATGATACGACGAAAACAACTACAATGCCCTGTTTCTGTTTCCTCTGTCTACCCCTTTGAGCAACACTTTTGTGATAATATTATAAACATTAACTGGTTGGTGAAGAAAGAAAAAAGTCCGATGCGTAAAAAATAAAACTCGTCGTGGCAAAAACGGCGCTCTGTCGGCGCTCGAATGCCCCAGCTGTTTTGAACGTCGCAGGTACTAGGAGAACATGAGTCGCTAGAGCTTACCCATGACTGTTGCTCGTAGTGCGCGCCCTGGAATGTTCTTGTACGAAATCGAGGAGGGGCGCAGGGGAGATAACAGCCGGCGCGGGGGGAATCACAGCGGGCGCGGGCGGCGGGTCGGAGACGATGACGGCTGGCGCAGGGGCGGGCACGGGGACTGGGACGGCGACGGAGGGCACCGGCGTCGTCGGTCGCACTACGCCGTTGCTGCGCGCCGTCACCGCTACTCCGGTCACCACTCGCACCGACAACGGCGACTTCGGTTCCTCCTCTGTAAACAAACGAGCACACGTCAGAACGGTGTTTCCATTTGAGATCAACAACGATCAATATGCGTTTTCATGAGAATAATTCGCGAATAGACCTCTCTCAAACTCACATTACCGCGGTCAGCACTTGTCAAACCCGTGTCAAACGCTCGTCCGCGGCTGCAATCCCTGGCGGTAAAGTACCAGGCGAGCATAGACGGCCAGTAGTTGCTTTTATGTTAGTGAATGAAATGGGTATATGCCAAGTATGAGATAGCAACATGACGATAGCCACGCTGTCATGGTAATTTTTTTTGTAATGTTAACCTTATGCGTTGGCGATAAGACTTAATATTACATATTAGATAATTATCAAGCATGCCAAACCGGTATGCGAAACAATTCATAAACACGGCCTTTAGAAAGAGATGGCAATGGAGTCGTGTCGCGCGATGACATGACGTCAGAACGTCTGCTTCAATTTTACGTTTTAGTTACAACATGGAAAATCAGCTGGTCGAGAGACAAACGTTCTTTGTTCGTTCAAACGTTCAAACGTTTCTTGCTATTAAAAACATCAAATATAATGTTAAATACATCTATTAATTGTAGAAACCTTTTATTATTTTGATAATATATTATAAATTATTTTTAATCATTTCTTGTAATCTACGAGCGTAAACTAAATTGGTTTTTTGTAGCATAGGCATTGTTCAAGTATTTTCGTGTTTAGAATGCAATAATAGAAATTTATGCGTCCTTCGTCCGACCCAGCTAATATTGGCCGGCGAGCGTTGACCGATCTGTTTGCCTTCTTTTTGCCTGCACTATAAAAGTGAATATTTATAATATTACCAGACCTGACCAGATTTAATTTCAGTTCAAGTTTGTAATTAATTAAACCGTACTCGTGATAAATATTAGGAAACTAAAACAGATGACAACTAGAGATCGTTATTTTTCTTATAGGTTGTGAAGTGATTTTTATTTGAAAGTTAAAGTTAAAAAGTTATTCTCCCGTCTCGTAAAATTCAAATTCTAAACCAAAATCGATAATGTCGGCCTACCAACCCTCTCAATATTAACTGAGGATAGGATTTAATATGAATGCGTCTCTCTCCCCAAGGACCCTAACAAATGCCCTTGACCTCTGTCCCTGTCCTTCCTAACCCATTCAATTCATTCACAAAACAACTGAGAAAAAAATAATAGGAGATCATAGGATAGTAGTAAGTGACCGCATTATTCAAATGTTTCGTATGAATAATTTTGGCTTTAGAGGTGCTTTGTTCTCGGGGCTGATGTACTCATGACATTGGCATATTCACCTTACTTTTGCATAGAAAAAAAATATAAATTTATCTATAAATATCCAAATAGGTCGACTGTAATTTATTGTTGCTAGAATTAAATTCATAAAGATATTTTAGTAGCATAACCAAACTAAATTAAGATTGGTCACTAGCGCCCTCGTGGCAATGTGAAAAATATGTCACTAGGTCCTTTTCGTTCTCTGTCATTTCATATTTTTTTCTTTCATGATATTTTATAAGCTCATGTATGTTTTACATATTTTCTGGTTGATTACCGCGATCGCAGCACCTCTGTCATCGGGCCAGATATATTTGTTTGACTATACTTTCGATTTTTTTATTGATTGAAAATTATTATTTTGCGTTTTATAGATCTACTAAACATTGATTTATGACCACACAAACGGATGTGAAAAACCTTGAAACGGACTTTCATATTGCACGCTCTTGACGCACCTCTTTTATTATATAGTACATAGAAGTTTTGTTATAGGAATGCCAAATTAATGACTAGCAATCAAAAGTATTTCTGTATCTTTTACAGGTTAAGAGAAATTTTAAATACATCAAAAATAATTATTGAAAGTCATAAGAAAAGAAAATGACTAAAATATTTACTATGCGTAGAATTTTTAAACTAAAAATAAGTCTTACCTAATTGGAAAATAAACTTTGAAGCTTTAAGCTGTCTGACGCAAGCGCTACCAGGGTAACATAGGCAGCGGGGTAGTTATGCAACAGGGGTGGGGCCAGAGCGCGTGCGTCACAAGCTCGCGGGGGTTACACCACCTAGAAACTACTGACCTGCGCAAATTCCCCGCGATTTAGAGAAACTAACAACATATAGATTCTTATATAAAGCTTGTTGCTATTTATTAGAGGAAAATATAAATAATATTAGGGCCAATTTAATGCACAGTCTTTGAAGTTACATAACTTCACAACAGCTTAACTCTTTCTAATTTCGATTAGATATTTACTGTAATAATGACCATCGAACGTCGTAACATTGTTGCGTCATTAAACTTTTTTTTAAAACACTAGGGTTGTTACAAAATATTAAATGAAAAAGGATGAAATATACAACCTATTTAGAGCTAGAAAATGACATAAAAGAAAAAAGAGCTTGTGACACTTATGATATTGACAGAGGCGCTAGTAAGCTGTCATATTTTAGTTTGGCTTTGCCCTGTTTTCCTTTTATTAAAAAAGTCTATTTACTACTGTTTTTATCTATTATTAGTCTATTCAATCATGCAATAATTTCTAGAACAAATAAGAAACGTTGAATATTTAACAGAAACAGCGTTTATTATTTTTATTTCAATGTTTCTAAAGTGAAAATTGTAAGCTCTCAAGATGTTATGGTCGCCTAGTATAATTGCGCATGGCGGCGCGCGCTTTTGACGGACATTCGCCGAACGGGTTTTCTCTTCCCTCGTCCCCCACCAACAACATACCCACAAATCCGATACAATAGTATACATTTTTAGACGTAATATACAAGAAAACATATTTATACTCTTTATTTTTTATTAATGCCAGTTAGACGCAAAATATTCTAGTAAAATAAAAATGAAACGGTAAATAACTGTAATAAAATAACGTGCGAAGTCAATCTTTGTGATAGACGCGGTTGACAGGCGGCGCTTACAGCAGAGCTGGGGTCTGCATATGATAAGCTGGGGGACTGTGGGGGCAACAGAGGGTGGTGAAGGGCACCCGAGGTGGGGAGAGAGGGGTAAAGTGGTGGGGGCGCTCGAACCGACACGTGACAGCGAGTCACGCGGTCCGATCGCTCCCGAGCGCATTCGATGCAACAAAGCTCTAGAGCGAGACAAAAGAGGGCCCCTCAGCCTAGTGCTCTCAACACACGTTCAAGGCGTGCTGTCTGGGCATCGTACCGTTTTAATATGTCTATAGATATAACTAAAACTGGAATATCTGTATGTAATATCGAAAAAAAATATTTTGTATATATGTTTTGCTGATAACGAAATGGCAATTTTTAAAATTTTTGTCTGTCTGGCCTGTCCGCAAAGCCGCGTTTGTTCCTCGTAATCTCCGGAACAGCTTAACCGTTTTTCACAGGATTGAACATGAAGGAAGCTGATGCATGCGGGTTGTTTAGGCTATTTATTTTTCTAAACTCGCGCTGACGAAGTCGCGGGCGATCGCTAGTGTTTTTTATAAGATTTATGGCTATCACTTATCTTGCCTAGTAACAAATTCGTTTTCATATTAAATCCTCAAGACGGTTGCAAAGGCGACGTAACTAAAATGACTTCACGAAACTTACAAAACATCGTTATGAATGTTTTGTTTGAATAAGACTTGTTTTTTTTTTCATTTACAAGGGTTTGACGTTGGCTGGTAAACTATTAAGGATTTTAGGGCCTCCGTTAAGTTTATGGTACCCTGATATTATGAATATCAGATGCAATAGCGATTTTTTTATTTTAATCAAAAACTTCCTTAAAATAAATCGAACATGGCAGCCACTGCCCAAAACACTTGGTTGTTTTAAAATCGATAAATATTTTTAATCTATTTCCATTGTTTTCATAAGTTAAGTAACGAAGCCTAAAAGTGATGGGGTAAATTAAAAACAAAATAGTTGTATACCTGTACCACGTGTTGAGATAACGTGACATTTCCCCGGTCAAATGACCCCACCCAATTTGAATTGTCTAGTAGATACTCTTTGCAAACGCCCACTACAAAGAGTAAAAGGGGTGGGGGGTTCGCGCATGCTCTATACTGAAGGCCAGCTCACGTGTTGGCGTAACAAAGATGAATCGAAGCAGAGTATTATGACGTCACAACTGATTAAGTACCATTTGTAAAGGCCTTGTATTTAATAAAACTCAAAAAAGCAAGAAACTAAATGCTTTTGCATATGTTTCGGGAATGAAAACCCACGGATATATAATAAATATGTATTTGCGAATAAAAAAAAATCATAAGATCCAAGAGCTCAAGGCCACATAGCTGCTTGCACTTTTATTTTATTTTTATAAATTAATAAAATTTAAAAAACCGGTTGACTTCATTTGACAGTAAAACCTCTTTGGTAAAACAAAGGCTAAACTTAAAAAGAAAAAGATGGAACTGTCAAAATTATTATCATTTAAGTTGTCAATGGGTTGTCATCTCTTGGCCGTAATAATAATATTTTCTAAGAATTGACTTATTTAATTCGCTACAATATGACTGCTGAAAAATAAAACATAACATTATGTTTGTTGTTTACGTTTGTGTAGCTAAGCGGTATTTTTTGTCATTATCTCTGTCAAAAGTGTCTCTACCAGTGCGATATGTCTACGTCAACAACTTTGCGAAGTAAGCAATGGGCGTCTACAGCATGTATAGTGCGACAATCTTATCTGGCCCGGTGAGGGAGGGCGCTGTTATCGGGGTTACTTCTATCATAAAGTATGTAAAATCTACTTATGTCACTAGAAGACTACTGTAGTAGAATTAAAAATTTGTATTTTTAGGGTTCTGTACCTCATAGGAAAAAAAACGAAACCCTTATAGGATCACTTTTTATTATTTTAATAATTTATATATAACGAACTCTGACGATGGAATGTGTAATCATTGAATTGCAATTTCGCATGTCGCGCTTCGTATAGACAGCAAATACACTAAAATTGCGATCTGTACACTGTGTCGACATTTGCCTCGAGTGTCGTCGTTTATCCCAGCACAGAAAATAACACAGGAAAGAAGACAATAGTCCGACATTGTCATAACACTTTTTGACGTTGACAGTGGTGCACGATTGGGCTATTATAAATAATTTACGTCCGCCGGGTCAAATAAGTTAGTCGCACTATAGCCAACGGGCAATCGCGACGGCCGTCTACAGCACACATAGACACTGCCAATCTTTATTATAGTATTTTATCTCAACAGATAAACGGTTCGACCACGTGTAAGACCACCGCCGATATGACGTCTGCGCTCCTGGTAATGACCTCTTATACAATCATATTATAAAAATATTTTTTATCTATTTAATAGAGCGAAAGTTTATAAATATATTTATCTCGCTCTTTCTTTACATTTTGTGACAATTAAATATTTATAGGCAAACAAAGTTATTTGATCCGGTGGGCAAAAATCCAAGGCAAAGTAAAATCAAAGATTCATGATGTTCTGGTAGTTTTAGAAGGAACAGAGTATTAAATACTTCCAGATCACCTTGAAGTATACTCTATCCTAGAAGAAATGATGTATCCCAATTTGCTAATAATATTTTGATTGACACCCTAAATTCCTTGGTTTAACAGATGTCGATTGGACAGGTAATTGGTTGTGTGTCTTTTCGTTTTGGACATATTCCGTTTGTTAGTATAGGTTAACAATATGGTGTCGAGAATTGTTCAATTACCTTTACACTTTAATTGTAACATATTATATCTACCGCTTTTAAAAAATTACGGCATCGCATTAAATATCAATCAGAGCAAACATTTAACACGCAGACCGTGGTCTAGCAACGGCTGGCTGTAACGGTGCCTTGTCACGAACTTATCGCAACCAAAGTACCAAACAATAAAGACCTTGAAGGTATAATTCTTGAAAACAAACACGCTAGGTTCGAAGGTAAGACTCCATATCGAATGCATTCTATTTTTTCCCCGACTGACAAGGGGGTTATGTTTTCCGCGTGTTTTATTTTGTATATTTGATATCCTTACATCCTGTAGCTTAAATGCTTAAATGGATTTTGAGCTTGATGTCATTTGATTAGTGTTTATCCTCGCAGTTAAACATCACAATGTAATGTACATAACGTTTATGTACTCGTATACCTTACCTAGTGTAGCTGACTAGGACCAGGACTTCATAGACAAAGAAAAATTTTTCATTCCCCAATTATTTTCACATCTAAATCTACTTCTATTATTTACGAAAGTCTACTTTTTAAATTTCTTATTATTTCAGCTTTTATAAATTGAAAATTTTATGCGTTTAGAGACATTTTAATCCCATTGTTTTCCATAATAATTCTCATTTCAAACTAGGTCATGTATCATGAACGTAGTCTTCGTAGGAAATCTTGTTTCTGCTCTTCCGATAAGACATTTCACAACTAAATTCATTCGTCGAGGTCACGTATACATTTCCGTTGTATATTCAAATATAAGGTGTGTTTACATTGTCACTTTTTCTGAATTATAGTCATAATAGTTTTTTTTTTATAAGAGAAGGGGGCAAACGAGCGGCGGGAACACCGAGGTGATCAACGACACCCATGGACATCTGCAACACCAGAGGAACTGTAGATGCGTTGCCGGCCTTTAAGGAAATGGTATGCTCATTATACAATACTATTATAGTCATAATAGTGTCATAATTACGTCTTTAGACTGACAAACTAAATTATGATAACTCATTAGTGCCTTCTTGACATTAACAAATTGAAATGTGCTGTGTTGTCATGTTTTTATGCGATTTTTATATACCTTTCTCATCGGGCCAGACAACATTGCTTAACTACATGAAAAGTTGGGTTCAAAAAGTGTTTAACGATAATTGACTTAGCAATACGAGTATTTGCGTAAAATAGAATCAAGGGCCGGACCAAAAATAATTATTTTAAGATATGTAATTTATATTACCTAAATATTTTTCCTTTCTAGTTCCATTATATTAATAATATCAGAACTTGTACCATAATATTATTAACAATTATGTACGCATTATTTAAAAACCAAACCTAACAAAGATACGGCGTAGTCTTTTAATCCTATAAAGATGGCCGCTGTAGCGTCACTTGTAAATTAGTGATTTACAATTTAAACTACTACACTACTAGTCGTAGTAATTTGACTACTTTTATGAGATTACCGCCCCCAGTTTCAATACAATGAAGGTGAAAGATGCCCTGAATCGCAAATGTAAAATCGATTGACCAATGCGTCATGGTTTTACGAATACCCGTGGGTTTCCGAGTCGATAATCTCTGTATCAAACATATCGTTATCCCTGTCATTATCTTAGACAAAAGAGAGACAACAATACGTTTTAAACGGAGTTTTTATAATGAGAAACCTACGGTTAAAAATATAAGATTTATTTATACCATTAAATATAAGAAATCTACATCATTCTGAAGTATTAAACCATTTATTACTTTATTAGCAAGTGCCCAGTACTTATTTTTTTCCGATTATGTGTTCACAGATCAGGGTTGCATAAGATACAGGATGTTAATTTTCACTCGATGTCTTGGTAATTTTTATCATGCAACGATCAAACTGGGCGTGTCTTGTCTACAAGGCGTGCAGACATCGACCTTCAGGAGAGGTACACCTTGACGCGAACATTGTCGGTTAAAGACGGAACAAAAATGCAATGTACGTACTTTGTTTCAGACTACATCTTGAGACGACAGATGTATTGATATTCACTTAAAACACGGATCAGTCCAAGAAAACGTGATCCACTTAACTCAAATCGTACTAAACTGAGTTAGCACAAATAGAACTAATGACACAAATTGAAGAAAATAACGTTACAAATAAGAACCCTTATGCCCACGCACTGGGAGCCAAATAATACAAATTATCTCGATAAAAGGAAAAATAATATGTTAAAGGTAGAAATTTCTAAATCATGTAGCACACAGCCGGCAAAGCGATATTCAAGCGAATCGAAACGCCCTTAGCACACCCAGACATAAAAATCAAATTGAATCCATGAAAATTCGGAAGTATCGATTCGCTTTTACGACTGTGTACTACATGCCTGATAAACTCTTGTTATGTTGCCACGGTGACTTCCTACGTGGGCTATCGAAGTCTATCAGATTATTGATTCGTTACATCAAGGTTTTTATCAAGTAAATAACGTGAACATAGATTTTTCAAGGGTCAAGCATTTAGCAGAAACAATAGTTTTCAGTCTGTACCTCATCTTCTGTGAACGGAAAATAAAAAAGTGCAGTAAAATCTTAACAATTTTCAGTACAATCATGTGATACATAACAGTTAACATATTATGTACTTAGCACTAAAACTCACCTAGGTACTCTTTGATCCATTTCTTTTTAGGAGGAGGCCTAGCGATTATATCATCCTTAGCTTCCTTAACAGGACTTGGATCGCTTTTCGCTGGGGAGGGTCTATCAGTCTCAGGTACCCGGACCACAGGAGTCGCGGGTGTTGCAATCTGCTGTGGGTACACATAACCCTGGGATTGGTACGGCTTGTAAGTCTTGAGCGTTATCGGTATCGGCTCAACGATACTTCCGAATTCTGTCTCCCTGGTATTAATGGCGATCGTATGCAGTGTATCCGCGTAGAAAGCCTTCCTGGGGGTTCCCATCGTGAAATAATCCGACTCTCTACCACGTCCTCGATATCTGGCAGTGCCCAAATTCACTTTGGTGGTTTCCATGAGTATACCCATTCTATGGTACGACGATAACTTCACTAACAACTTTCCTCATAATTCCCTCTTACATTTAAACACGTCCTAGTCATTTTTACTTAACAGTTCTTAAAATTGTTCACATATAGAATGTTTATTATTAATTATTATTCACAATCACTCATTACGTATCTGGAATTACAAATTTTACACAATAAGCGGGTGCGTTTGCGATAGAAAAATCTGACGACGTAAGAATTGTTGGGAAATCGAAAGAAATGTGAAATAGGGAGACGAAACAGGCGTATTGTATACGGATTCATTGACGTACTTATATTGTTTCTGTAACTAAATACGTAATTAAATTTGTAAACTTCCATCATATTTTTGTAATAAACAGATAATTTTCTTAAAGGTATTCATTAAATAAACACTAGTGCAATATAATAAAGAACAACATTTTATGTTATAACCTTGTTTTGCCTCGTTCTAGTGATACATTCAGTTTGTTTACGCGAAAACGGGCAAGATTGTACAAAACATACATATAATTTTTGTCACGCTTATTTGTTTGTTTTTAATTATTTGCGTATGATAAAAAAACGAGTTAACATCAATGAATCAGTTTTCGCAGTTAAAATGCGATGTTCGCGAAAGAGAGGGCACGATACGAGGGGGACGGAAGTCATGATGTGGTGCGAAGGCCGGCGACACCGGTAGCGCCACTTCTGTGCGGCGACGACGAGCAACAAGTGCGGGGGAGGGGAACGCATGGCATGCACGACGCTGCCACCACTGACACGTGCACTTTCCCCTCAGCCCCTCCCACGCGCCCTGAGTTACTGACTACCCGATATAGGTACCTCCTAAACCTTCATGATGCCTTAGTACTGATGATAAAACTTGACACACCATTGACCTTTAAAAATTACTACATACAATGCTTTCGATGATAAAATAGATTTCACGACTAGTTTTTATAGTGTAATATTGTGCGACGCTGACTAACTTTAGCCGTCATTGTGACGCACCATGGCTGAATGAGAGCCAAGATCAACTTCATAGAGGCATTTAAAATACGAGAGAAAAAAAAACGAATATTAAACAGGTGTAGGTCGGTTAGTTCGGACGGAACGTTATCGGGCTTGCTTGTTTGAATAGATTGTACACGTGCTGAGTCCAGTGCACTAAACAATGGCGTACCACTGCATCGTACAATATGAAACACTGCTCGCTTGGGAACATTCTAGAAAGCAGTGAGCGCGCAAAGCAACGTCCACTGCAGTTACAAATGTTGCCAAGAGAACGCTTTCAAAGGCATTAAATCTAAATGGAAAGCAATATTTAACATAATTTTAAAAGTACTGTACCGAGATACAAAAATTGTATCCTAGGTCTAAACGCCTGAAATCTCTATACAGAGTGATTCAACTGCCTAAATTCTGAATTACTTGGGGCTAATAGGATTTGTGAGCAAAATGTTCTTTTATATTTTTGATTAGCTAGAAAGAGAGAGATGTGTGTAGTTAGTTATTATAGGATTTTGAAGATTTTTAAGAAATAAAGAATTTCTTTTCCTCATACAGACAAAATAAATTCAAAGGCCTGTACCAGGAAAACATAGGGAAGGGTATCGTTAGGGATCAATCATAACGAGCGGAGACATGGAGGCGCGTTTGGTGAAACGTAAACGCGTTACGTAAACGACAAGTGGAGGAGTGCGGATGACGAGGGGTAGCTGCGAGGGGAGCAGGGGGAGAGGCGCACGTGTACAACGCGCTATATTTTTATATCTCGTATTATGTAATTCTCGTAATAGATACCGTGACCATTATGTATTGTATATGTTTAGTATATACGTAGCCTTCGTAATCCAAGATAGAAAATCGATAGGATTCTCACCTCGAATTTATTCATTCTACTCAAAATTCAAATAAAGTCGACATTATGGATACGCGCACAATGAACTACGGTTAAAATGGTAATCACATTTTGAGCTTGCTATATCTCTATCGAAAACTATTACGAAAGCTTGTCAGTATTTTTAGACAATGAATGCTGAATTAAGAAAAAACCTGGGTGGTTGAGGTTGGAGATGGAAAAGAATAAAAAAAAAACAAAAGTTTAAACAGTATTCATAATGTTTGTAGTTAATGATAAAGTGGCCGTGATAAGCTATTGCTACTAAAACATTCGTAGTTGAATAATTGCGTCTTTTATTAATATATCTAAATACATATTTCATTTAAATTTTAATTTTATGAATCACTTTGAAAAACGAAACGTTACGCCATCTTGAATTTTGCTTTGAGCAAAAATTGCTTACTTATTGGATTGAGTTTTGAATCTGGTACATGTGATTAATAAGCGGTTCTTAACAAAGTTCAATGCACGAAAAGTACCCATACGTAATTATTTTATTACTATGAATTGATGCCATTATGACAAAGGAATATTAACTAAAAATAATAATAACCGTGTGAAGCCAAGGCTGGTCCATAATCTAGTTTAAATCTTTGTTTTCAAAATGGTCAAGAACTACCAGGAGTGCAGAAAACACTGAAGTTACCATGAAATTGAATACCAAAAGTAGTAGTTAATCAAAAAGGAATCTTTGTGAATAGTTTGGGAATCTATGTTTTATGCGTTCTTAGTAACTGGAGTGCGTTGTCATTAGTTATTTTGCACTGACATCAGTTCTAAGACGGACAACTTCATTTCTGCATAAGTAGGACACGTTAACAATGCATTGCACAATATCGCTAATCATATTGCGCAAGTCACACGATGTCACGAATTAACAAGTCCTTTTAACAAAAAAAGTTAAAGTTAATTTTAAAAAAAACAATAAACCGGACTACATTTTTAGTCGGTGAATGATAGGTATTGCAATTATGAATACAGGTTATTTTATGCAGTTTAAACTTAACTATTTTGAATGGCAAACCGAGACAAAGGCATAAAGACAGGTTTTAAAGACCTCTCATAAGATTTACTGGACGCTAAATCCTACTACTAATGAGAATGATTGGATGGATGGATGTTTGTGTGAAGTTCTCTCCAGAACGGCTGTATGGATCTTGCTGAAATTTGGCATAAATGTAGATAAAACATAGTCTGGAAGAACGCATAGGCTACTAGTTAAGGCTTTCTTACCGCACGGACAGAATCGCAGGCGATAGCCAATTACATCTAGAGTCTATGTTTCAACATTTTAAAAGATTAAAAGTTAAAATAAATTAAAGTCGTCTCTACGCAAAAATAAATAATTTACGTTTAATTCATGCCTTAGTTATGCACAAAGATAATGAAAATATTTTGCATGTTTTTTACATTATTTTATTCTTAAATAACTGCCAAGTATTTAATAAGTTTATACAAATTAAATAATTACTAATTATATAATTTTAAATAGGAATTAAAGTCATGTCGAATCTATTTAAAAACAAGCCTTCCACCCGCCACTCCGTCTGCGCTGAATTTAAAACAACTTAATAAGTATGTGTTCTTCCGGACTATATTCTACACCTGTGCTAAAATTCATCAAAACCCCTTAAGCCGTTCTGGAGATTCTTTGTATCAAACATCCATCCATACATCTTAACATTGGCATTTATAATATTAGTAAGACCTGAAATGCAAGTTAGGCTTTAAGATAAAGTATTACGTAATAGAAAAAAAACCGGATAGAACTTATAACAAAGAGTTATGCCTATAGCCGTACTCCAATTGGACTTAATTACACAGAAATTTTTCTCAGGATTCACAAAATTTATATAAATTTGTCTGCACAGCTTCCATTGAGAGATATCGATAACGTGCAATAAATTATTAAAATAAAATTGAGGAATAAAAAGAAGAATAAACTGGTTTAAACTGGTATAGACAAAGAAGTAAGTACTTACGATGAAACAATTAAGACCTTGAAATTAAAATAATAGATTTTGTTAATTCCTGGTGCCTAAGGTATATAGAAACTCAAAATTATGTTATTAAGTTTTAGTACTTGAAACCATCCAGTACATCCAGTACTATATATTATAAATCGACAAAGATTCCATCGTATTATACATATAAAATACATACAAGGAAACCTGTGTCGAATGAAAAATTAATAAAAAAAAACTATAAACAAACTCTTGATCTTTGTTATAAGAATTACGCAACCCGCAGTAATGAGGCGGTCTGCTAATTGCGAAATCGTTTTATTTGCAATGTGTCGCCAATCGCTACGACTTTTCTATACTGACAATTACATGTCTTTATAGTGGCATTCAGGATGAGGTTATCTATTGAGATATACTATCGCTTTGAAATAAAGAGTAATAGTACTTATAAGTTTAGGGCTGGGGAATGTGCATCGCTGGATACGTAAAAATTCGATTCGCGTCGGAAGGTGCAAAAGTCCAGACGAGGGCAGGGCGCGCGGGGTGTTGCTGGGGGCGAGGGGCGGGGGAGGGCCGCAGACAGTTGCTAATTGTCGGCTGCAGGGCGGCGCGCACGTGGGGCGCGGCGCGGCGCGGCGCAGGTGCCGCCGACCTCGCGGTATCTCGTCTCGCCGTCCGAGGTCGCGATGATAACGCACGCTATTTCGGACCGCGGCCGGCACCGGCACTACACCGCACCGCCGCTGCCGTCGCAAACGCACCCGACAACCGCGGCACACGAACGACTCCCGAGCGGGCGCACGGCCGAGTGCGCCGCACGTCTCTCACGTACCGAGCGACGCGACTGATGCGACAGAAGCTCGACCAGCGCCGACGCACTCCGCTCGACGACTGAACCGAGCGCTCTCCGTCTCGGAGGGCGGAGGAAGCGGGAGGCGCGCGACCTCCGGAACCCCCCTACGCCGCGGCCCGCGCCAGTGAAACCGACGCGACGGGCGGACGAAATCGCAAGGCGAAGAGCGCGGGTGTTGGGGTATCGGGGCGGCGGTGTGGCGGCGTGCGGCGCGGTGCGGTGCGCGGGGGTCGCGACACGCGGCCGAGCGCAACGCTCGCCGCTGCACCGTGCGCCTCAGCGCTTTACATAACGCTGCACGGAGCGGCCGCTCGCGAAACGAGGTCGTAGCGGCGCGCCGCCGTACGCCGCACGCCGGCAGAATGCTAACAGCGACGGCGGCTGATGAAACACCGGCACGAGCACGGTGACGTGTCCGAGGAGTTTAGTCGGTCGCCTGGCGGAGTCAGTGAACCTCGACGCCGGCGAATAAGGTGAATGGAACATTGCAACCGAATCAAACGGTGCGGACGTAGGAGGCGACCGCGACGCACCGCTCCTTGTGTTATTCGCGACGCCGTTTAGCTTTCTAATGGAGTGTGGGTAGGTGCGCGTGACCTCCACTACGTTTTCGACGCACAATAGTTTTTAATTGTAAAAAAACTTAGATCTTTCTCACAACTCGCCACTGTATTTGACATTCCCTTGCGATATAAAAACTAGGCCATTGCAAGAGGCTCCATTTAAAAAATTAACTTGTCGCTTGGCTTATAACAGATCATTGAGTGGCTAAAGTGAAATTTAATCCAACACATCACGAAACACGAAGTAACAGTCAATAGTTTGATTTCTCTGTTGCGTGTGTGTGCGTGTGACAGAGTGCTTGCCCACCGCCCACGTACCCGGCAGCTCGGCGGGCACGTGTTATCTTCATACAACTATAAATTATAATGTTTGCACCATGCAAGATACGTTGACCACAGCCCTAAGAATGTTAAACTACATGGCTTGGTCTTCTACATTTTTACAAATTAGAAAAAATTCAGAGTACCAAATAATTTGGCTAAATGTTTTTTATACACTTTTTCATGTACAATTTGCGCCTATAAACCCTACTTTGTTGTCAATATTTAGGAATTTGATCCATAGCATCAGCTGCTCTACTTATATTGAACCCGAAAGTGGTATTTCCAATAATCATTAAAGCGTGACTACCATAAAACATAATCTAATTTGTACTAAGATAATTTCTACTTTCTGACCATTCCTATCGCCACAAAGTGGGAGAGAGGGGGGCGAGCGTATTTGGTGAGCGGCTAACAGGAACACATAAGTATCGTGGGTGCCGCCGCCGCCGGCGACAGAGGGTGGCGGGTGAGAGGGCGACGAGCGGGGACGCGGGAGGAGGGAGCGACGCATGCGTGCGGCGGCTGACCTTGGCGCGGTGCAGCGTGCAGCGCGGCCGCCGGACACCTCCCCCGCCTCATGCGCCCCGGGTAACCACACCTGCCGGTTTAGCAGGTTGCGATGCGGCTGCGACCTAGCGTCATGCCTAGATTCTATTTCTGAAACGGCCATATAACTAAAATCAGTTATCCTGCGCTTAAAACAAGTCAGTTTAACAAAACTTTAACGTTATAACTTTCAATACCATAATCTATTGAACTTTGAGTGCTGTAAATCCTTATAAGATTGAAGCGTAACTTTATTAAACCTTTTTTCCATCAAATAAGAGTTAAACTACCGTAGTTGGATGTCTCTGCTTGCCGTACAAACATTTTAATACTTTTTGTATCGCCTACCGTTAGCGACTGTATCAACGCAATTGTTAGTGATTATAACCGATTCGAGCAATCAATATGAAATATAAGCGACCCGGGAGTCGAAGCGGCAACAGGGGGTTCCCACCCACCGGACGTCGAGATAGCTCCCTCAGTCACCGATACCGACCAGTCATGTATTTATTTATTAACTCACACATATACAAGTAAGCACACTTGTACAATAAAATTCAATGTCATTATATCAAGTTTAAAAGTTGTTTCTTATACTATCACGACTAGACTTGTCTGAAAAACAAGTAATAGTAAATACAATAATATGACTGACTTTAACCCTATGACACGGAATACGGAGCGAGTTCCACCTTATTATTCAAAATTTATATAGTCTTTTGTGCTTAAATGTACATCGGGGATAAACAATAACTTTCTGTCCGTCAGGAATAAAGTTGAATAAAATAGATAATTCGTATTTGCTACCAATTTAGTTACAAATCCTTTAGATTTATATACACTTTTGGATGTATTCAATTGAGTCTAAGAATGTAAAAGTGGCAAAGGTCAACAGTCTCATGCGTGTGTAATATGCAATCATTTAAATATCAATAAGTCTTTATGTTATTGAAATGAGCGAACAATTACTACAAGCGCAACATTCAAAATTATACCTATCCCACTCCATCTCAATACCAATTTAGTTCTTTCTCTTTCATAATCACTAGTCGTTAGTATTTTTTTTTGCAAATGGCGTCGACGATTTTGATTTTAATTTTTTATTCAAAATGTGTCTGTGATGTTTTAATTATTACAAATTTTAATGTTGTTTTACAGAAATTATATAATGGCTCTTTAAATCTAGTTTGATTCTTAAAAAATGTTGCGCGAAAATTATACTACGTCTGAACTTTTAAGTCAGCGCAATAAAACTACATCTTGAAGTAATAATAAAATATTTATACTTAAGCAAGGAGTGAATTCTGATATGACGGGCAATTAAAATGTATGGAAGTAGTAGGTAAAATACCGAAAAGAACAGGTTGATTGGATGTTTCTCGATAGGCCAATTGGGAAGCTGGCCCAACGCAAACACCCGGCTGATAATATTTAGTCTGGTGTTGATACGGTTAAAGAGCCTAGATAGAATATAGCCGCCATCTTGAATTTACCAACTTACAATTTTGCTAGTAGTATTATAGTTGCGACACTCTGTGTTTGAAACGCGGGTCAATTGTCAAAGTCTATTAATAAGAATGTACTATTTATAGGCAAGTTACAAAAGCAAATGATAATACATCGCGTTCAGTTCCGACGATATAGCGCAAATGTTTGACGTTGCTTTACAACAGTACTTCTGTGATTTCTCTCAATTTAAAAATCTCATTTAAAATGCATTTAGATTCCTTGCGTAATAATAGTCATATTTCGTTGAATAGAGCTGTTTGACTTCAATGTCACGAGTTTGCCCGTCAAAGCCATTTTAATAAAATTGTTTTAAAATTATGAAAAGAAACACAAACATTATTTTTTTTAAATAAAATTAGCCACTATACTAAAAAAACCTACCAAGACCACAGAAAATTAACCTTCCAGAATCACCACAAATAGTAATGCTTCCAGGACATACCAGGCGCTCATAATGTCGCAAGAATCAGAACATTTTACTTTGCCTGCAACCGGGAGAGAGATGACCAGTATGTTGTTAGGGCATAGTATATACCGTTGCGTGTATAAAAAGCATTGCATATGGCTTGCGAGTGACTACGAGGCGGTGTTATCGTGTTTACACGACACTTATCAGCTGCCATGCCGTACCGTACTGTACGACAAGCTAACCGGCTTTGTCCGGGCCGCAACCAATTCCTAGCAACGCTATAATGATTTATTTCACTAAAGTTATATAACATACTCTACAATATAAGCTGACTTGTACCGGACGAGTGAGGTTCTATGTACGAAAAAACAATGAACTATAATTAATTATACCTATATGATCAAAACGATTGTCACAACAAAAAGCGATGTTTCAATGACTGTTTAGGACTTGTTAATAACCAGAATTCTGTTTATCAGATTTAATACTCAATGCACATATTTTTTTGGAATATCAGTTAAATATAGTAATTCTCTCCCTGTCTACCCTGTTTATTTTTAATATACGGCACCAAAGCATCGTCATCGCAATGAAACAATCAAGGCCCGCGTAAGGCCGCGCGAGTACCAGGCTAGCAGAACGGTGAAAGGGATCGTACGGCCGCCACCTCCGTACGAGCCGCGAACGCGTGCGAACGAGCTGGCCGCCATGCCGTGCACACTATTGTTCTTTGCGATCTAAAACCGGCAAATAGTATTCTACTTATAAAACTTTTACCACCACATAACGTTTTAAAGATAGATAAACAACGCTATTTGTATCCATTTTTCAATCTGAATTTATTACTGAAAACATTTTTTTTTCTTCCAATTAATATTTGTATGTAGACTCACTGCCAAAATGCGGCCAACACTTGCTTATCTTTGGGTTGAATAGAGATGATCTCATGGCCGTAAAAAATACAATGTGTTTGTTGTAATTGTTGCACACAGACAAGAGTACGCACACATTAAAATGTTTTTTTTCAATTTGTCTATGTTTTAAGGTTCATTAAGATATAATTTTATATTTAGGCTCGATTATTGCACTATATTAAATATCGCAGATCGAATTATAAAAAATATTTTTGGGAAATTTTTGGTAATTTTTTTTTACATAATCATGCTGTTACGTTTACGTCTAACTTTTCTAGTTGCATACCTATTACAAGTCAGAACAAACGCGTTGTCAATAAAAAAATTGATTTATACGGAGACTGTGATTTTTTTTTATATCTCTGTGTCAAATACTTGAGAATAAAAATAAAGTTATTCGTCTGCCGGCTGTAACATTCATATTGCTATCTCAATATTTTCAAGACAAATGAAAGGGATGGCGATATGTTTTTGTACTAATGTTTCGGTAGTGTAAACGATAACATGTACAATGACCCCTATAGACATTGTATTCAAGTTGAAATATTCAACATGTATTTTTTATTAATCCCATTCACAGCCGACTTCAACATTAGGGTTGTCAACATCGAATAACTGAACACGGCCGTCAAACTTGACAACCCTTGACCTCTTAGAACGATAAAAAGTAACCTTCTTTCACATTATGAGTCAATCTTATCGACCATTACGCTCACAAAATAATGAAAATTAGATTTGACAGCCCTAGTTTGACATCGGCTCAACCGGACTTGACTTGCAAATG